ACAACAAAGAAACGATTTTGTCGGGATTTTATACACCCACATAATTGTTATAGCCAGTTTTTGTTGCTCTTACGAGAGAGAGAGAGAGAGAGAGTGTGTGTATGTGTGTGTGTATGTGAGTCTTTTACAATGTCTCACTTCATCAGGCATTCCGGGCTTTATGCGCTACTTTCCGCTGGCGCGATTGTTGTCTTAACCCACAGCAGCTGTTTTGAGTAAGCCTCGGGGGCACATCATAATATAAAGTGCTGAAATTCCTGCGCCTTTACATACTTGCAGGCAGTGGAGTCGCACAACAAAGACGAGAAAAACTGTATAAAGCGCTTACTCAACAGAAAAGTTGCATAAGTAGTGACTTTATTTTACTAGCGGAATGCTAGGCAATATAGGCGCGCGCTTATAGATTTGCGTATACCAAAAAATGTAGCATAACTTTAGGCTAAACCGCGCGCACAAGCTACTTTTCACAGGCACACACACCTATGCACATATTTACTGCAAAAGGTTGCCATTTACTACAGATAGCAGTTACTTTGTGCTCTTACTATTATTGTTGTTGTTTTTGTTGCGGTTACACGCTCTTGTTTTCCGCTTAATAAAAGTCGAAAAATATGAAGTGTAAAAAGTGGCGAAGCATATATGCATATATATGCATATATATATATGTATATGCTGGTGTACCCACACAAAAATAGGCGAAGAAGCAGCAAATGCGCCCAAAAGTATGCTAAATAGCTGTGAAACTGCGAAATAGCTGCGCAACTTGTTGTGTTGGCTTGGCTTGCTCGTTTGCTCGATTTTTGTTTCCATGTTTCACTCTACTTTCGCGTTGTTGCACTATTTGAACTTTTGCTCGGCAAAATATGTTACTGTCTTGTATTTTTCGTTTTTCGAGCGCTGCGTTTACACATTATTGTCCTGATTTTTCAGTTGCGCGTTTTTATATGGTACACGGGCATATATTTTTTGTGGTAGTGTGGCGAGTGCGAAAGTGGTGTAAAGGATGTGGCTATGCAGTCTTCTTGGTGTATTTTGGTAACCTTAATTCTACGCATAATTTTCTTTGCCGAATTTTGTTTATTATGTACTTTTATATGTGGCAAATTTTTGCGCTTTAATTAAAGGGGCTTTAGTGGTTGGCTTTGCCAGTATGAGTAAATTAATAACGAGGACCAGAAAAGAAAGTCATATTCCGACAAAATTTTTATTCTCGGCTAGGAGCTAAAGCAAAAACTTAACATATATTTTTTCGCAACTTTTGCCAGAGACTATTTTTATCCTTTCTTGTGCTCCATTTAGCACAAAATGGATTTAAATTTTATCCAAAAATCTATAAGTTGGTATCAGCTTAATAGTCCAGTTTAATAATACCAACATTATTGCTGAATTATTTATGAACATGAATTCATGGAGTGTATACAAAAATTCCAACGAAACTGAAAAAAAAAAAATTTTACCGCTCTTGGTCAAAAATATAAGCAGCGTAAATTTTCTCGCTATATGTATATCAGAGATCATCAAAAAGGAAGAAAAATTAAACCAGGGAAACGTTTCAACAGTTGCAAGAAAAAACTTTTGAGCTTAATAGAAACTCATTCTCAGAACAATAGTTCAAGAACTAATATGAAAGTACTAAGTAAATGTTGTTTGGACCAAATTGCAATCACAACTAACGGGAAATTTAACTTTTTAGCAAATATAAGTTTCAATAAAAATAAATATATTATTTTGCCAATAGATGGGTTTAGTACTCTGTCACTCGCTTTGTATGAGGGCTGGATGATATTAGGTTGTACGGCGTTAGAAAGATATGGTTTTAAATTAAAATTATTAATGTGTTATATTATTAATCTGCAGGTTTTAGATATTTGTGTCATAGCTTGACTTAGTACTGTTTAAACATTTATATTATTAATCTGCAGGTTTTAGATATTTGTGTCATAGCTTGACTTCGTACTGTTTAAACAAGCGTTAAATATCGATAACATCAGAGGGAAAGGACGCCATATTTTATTGCTTCTGCCAGCCATAAAACAGTGATACTTATACTACAATTCTTTTCATAATCATAAATATTTTAATATGACTACATATTGTGAATATTGGAAAAAGTTTCTTTTAAAAATCTTTCAAGAGTTTTATTGATAAACATAATTACGATTAAATTGATTTCAAATAAAAATCGATTACATGGCTTAGGATGTTGAAAATACGCTACTTTTCGAAGCCTCCAAATCACAACGGAATTTCAAGAAGGTTTGAAACGAATTAGTCTACGATGCTTAGCAATAGAGAAAAGTTACAAAAAATCTAGAGCGTTCTGAATAATATCAGCTCTTATTCGGAAAATTAACTTATGTCCAATATGAAAGTTTTAACACATTACATTGGTTGGAAATCTCAAGGGTATGCTTTTGGTACTTCGCTGCAAAACAACATGCCATCAAAGCTGATCAGCACTGGTTTAATTAAACTTAGGTTAGATTAGGTTAGGTTAATCTGATAAGCCAATAAGCCTTACATATACCAGTTTGGACCTTTTCGATACCAGATGGAGTTCAATTGCTAAGTCCAAGATGAATAGTCATCGTTTAAGATGCGCTTGACCCGACTTTTAACAGACTTTGCTACCTCATTGTCGATACCTGCTCCAATGTATCAGACCGAGGGGATCCCAGATGCTTACAGCTGTTTCAGGTTTAAACGATTTATCTATCGAACTTTAATGTGAAGAGAAAATCAGAAGCGAGTTTTTCATTAAATATTTTGTTTCGAATGGAATCCCGAGTTTTTCATAAAGTTTTATGTTTTCAATGTAATCCCAGCCGCGAAATGATTCAAAATGTTATAGCAGTGTTTTAGGGAGTCTACTTTATTAGAAGCAATGGTATTTAAGTGACACCAGGCATCCAGTGAAATTCGTGAAGCCAGCGAAAGCTTGTCTCATGCGAGTCGACCATCAATCCCTTTTAATGACGATAACAATGAAAGGTTAAAGCAACCATGCTTCAAAATAGTTGTGTTGACATCAGAGAGATAGTAGAGGCACTCAACAGCTCATATAGATCAACACAGCAGATTTTGGTTATTGTTTACGGTATGTAGTGTGGTAATGCAAGACGCGCACTAAAAGAACTGAAACTTCTTCAAGAAGGCGTCTAGTAGAGGTCCCTAAAGATATGCTTAACAATATACCTGCAGCTTCGAACAATACAGTAATCAAACGCATTACTAATGATGGTGAGATATGTGTTTGTGGAATATGTTGTCGAAACTGTCCAACAAGCGATTATCGCTCCAAAAATGAGTGGAAACCGAAAAATGCACTGAAAGCGCCTTACCGCAGCCGTGATATGTAAGAAGTGTATGGAAAGTTTAATGAGTCTGTTTCTAAAGGTGGTAGTAAAGAGTTGTATTGAAAATATCTTATAAATTGAGCAGGTGGTTCGAACGTACTCTTCTGTATATATGGTAAATGATTTTACACCAAGATCGACATTAGCTACTCTTCGTTTAGGCCACAGACATTTTTTTTTTTTTTTGTACTATTCCTATAAAATAACGGTTGATCCCAGTAGACGTACTTTTTTCATTATCCGTGAGTCGACAAAGGTTTGGTATAGATTGTGGGCCGGTGGAAACTTTGATTTTCAAAATTTTTCAAAAACGAACCAGTGAGAACTTAACCATCAATGGCGACAACATAACCGACTAGTTGATGCCTGAAACGGTGACACTTCTCACACACCACACAAATTGATTTATTGAGAGAACACATCGGTAAACAGATAATTTCACGTTTTGTGCCGGTCGTTTGGTCACCAAGTTCGTGTGTGATCTCACTGTTAGACCTTTTCCTGTGGAAACCTGGACATCTTTATATATGAAAATCACGTGTCACGTTGTTTGTTCGCGATGGACTCCTAAACAACTGAAACGATTTTAGTAAAATTTAGTACACTGTATCCAGATCGAGCCAACTTAGAAGATAGGATGTTGAAAAACATTCATAAGTAAAAAATTCAGTGAAAGCTTTATTAAGCGCACAACTGTATTAACTGGACAGAAAGACTGGTAATCAGATTTTGAGAAAGCAATTCGTTATTTTTTCTAATATAACTTATTTGTATATTCAATATTATATTCATATTCAAAATTAAATCTCAATTACAATCCTTTGGATTCCTACACCGACAAAAACGGGTATGACATGAATAATAGTATAAAATGTATACCATAGCAACGCGTGGCCGGATCCACTAGTGTAATATAGAAATCTAAAGTCTATGCGGACAACCCCTATGCGATTCAGGCCATGGAGTGAAACATCATGCGTGTCATTCGCAGTCAAAATGCCCGAATGAGTCATTGCAAATTAGACTTACCGAATATGATTTGAAACGTAGCCGCGGCCAACATTTAAAAGGGATAATCTTCAGAACATAAATGCCAACGAAAATTCTTTCGTATGATAGTAAACATTTTTCGGTAAATTTAAAGTTAGTGTGTTTCTTCTTTAAGGGAGTAGGGAACCTCGAATAGATCTATAGATATAGATTAGCACTATAGAAATATTAAAAAAAATATATATATGTTTATGTTCAAAAGTTCCTTGAAAAAAAAAAGTATAATTTACTGTATAAATACATCTTTCTGTTTTATAATTTGTAATTTAAACAGCACACCTCGCAGTTTTATGTAAATAATATACGCATATAACCGCTATATCACTTAAATAACGCCAAATAAACACATAAGAATATGCATAATAGTTATTTCGGTCTTAACTTACATTACTACCTTACAATGCCTCAGTGAAATTCAATTAAAATCACTTGTTCATGCAAATAATAATGCAATTACTGCGTAAAGAAATTGCAAAAACTCCACATACACACATATATATAAAAATATATTACAGTATGTGCGTACGTGTGTCGCTTACACACCTATAGCATATAAAATTAATTTGTGAAATATTGAAAGTTGTTTGTACTCACGGACTGCATCAACGCCAATTGTTGTTGTTGGATTCCAGGTTAACAATACCAACAGCAATAGTGTGGCTATGCTGGACGTGGCTGAAATCGCGCTGTTAAGCTTGCGCACAGTGCACGCTATGGCGGCGGCTATGACTGTATGTGTGGGTGGCTTATTGTTGGGTGTGTTTGTTGTTGGTGTTTGTGTGACTGCAACATAATTGTTGGCTGCTGGCAGTGCTGCCATTTGCAGCCCCATATTATTGGTTTTTAAGTTGAGCTGTGTTCTGAAGCGATAGCAGCAGCAACAACAACAACAATAAAGGTGTGGAAGTTTTGAGTTGCAAGTGATTGCTTTACTTGTGATTTTCTTTTTGTTTCTTGTTTTTCTTTGCGAAATAAATTTGCTTACGTTGCAATTTTCTTTAAAGCTTTCGTAGTAACCGCTGCAACTAGACTTACTCGTTGGCTAGTCGATCTGCGGGCGGCATTTATATGTATTTAAATAATATGTATTTTAAAAGTGTTGTTGTTGTTATTTTTTTTTTATATTTTTTTTTTTATATTTTTCTTCTTATTTTTTTGTCTTCATATACTTTCTGTTCCTTCAAATTATGCTGAAAGCTTTTTTTAAGTTTTCAATGCGCTTTTGCAATGCTTAGTAGCTTTCGTGCTTTTTCACATTTCTCGCTGATATTGCACTAACTCAATTATCTTTTCTAGCTGAACTGAGCTGAAAGTTTTATCTGCATTATAAGAGCTTTTTTAGTTTCAAGCTTTGTATCAAACAGCTGATCTTAAAGCTTTTATCTGCTTTATATGAGCTTTACGTTGTCAAGCTTTTTAGGCGCTTTTTGCTGCTGAAGATTATTTTGCTTCCTTCTTTGTTTTATTTCACTTTATATCTTTTAATGCGTTTCTTAACGCCTATCTTGTCATAACTTTTATCTTATTTCGTGATATTTTACAGTTTTATTGCATGCTCGTAGCTTTAGCTTTGCTTACGAGCTTTTTTCTGTAACCTCAAGCTTGCATTTAATTTAAGTTTGCAATTTTTTTCAGCTTTCTTTCTGCTGTTTACTCATATTTAGCACCACATTACTCTTATTCATATGTTTGATGCTTTCTACGGAGCTTTCTTTTTAGCTTTTATCTTATCTTTTATCATCTACTGTTCAATTCGTACTTAAACGTAGCGGCACTTGTCAATTTCGCCTGTCTCTTTAATTTAGCAAAATTCCAATTCTGCTCTATAATTCTGCTTTCCAGCTATCTTTCTTCTTGTCAATTGCTTATATCGCTCTCTTGCTCTCGCTTGCTGTCGTGTGCTCTGTCTCGTTTGTGGACGTTCGCTAGTGCTTTGGTCTCGTTTCACTTGTCACGTATAGCTGGCATGCGGACTACAGTGACACATCAATAATTTGACAGTTGACATTTGCCAGCGTTTGACAGTTGTATTTACCGTTACAACGTTAACAAACGTTCACAGCAACACATATGTATTGCAAATATAAAAGTTAACAAATATACAGTTAACGAGCGCCATTGTTGTTTTGTGACATCGGCGTCACAGAGTGCAAGTCAGCGCAGGGGCCAAATACGAAAATAATAAATGAGAGTTAAAGTGCAGACAGACAAGTGCAATGACATTTTCCGGCAAAGAGTGACAGTACAAAAAAAAAATGTGGTCGCAAGCGCAGACGTGGTTTTTTATTTAATTTAATTTTTTTTTTTTTGTTGTTATATTTTTTGTTTTTTTTTTTTTCAATTTGTGTTTATGCCGTTTGCCGTTGGTACGAATATTTTTTGCAGTATATATTTTGTTTATGTTTTTTTTCGTGCATTTGACAGTTCAATTCGTTGCGTATTTTTGTGATTTAATTTTTTTTAGTTAAGATTTTTAAATGCATTTTGTACCAGCAGAATTAGTTGTATTCATTTTAATATAAATTTTCTTTAATTAGCGTTTCATTATTTTCGTTTACATATATATGTTTTGTTTTTGTTGTTTTTGGTTTACCATTTCAGTCATTCGTGGATGGCATGACATGCCGCGTGAGCCGAAAATCATCAGAGATAACGAGATGTGTCAGTAGATGCGATGTCATCATCATCATTATTGGCATGCAGTGCATTGAATGATATGTCAAAATTGTTTCAAGAAATAACGGTAGTTTTGGTGGTGGCGATGGTGGATGCAAATGTATTGTTGTTGGTAGTTGTCAATTTCATGCGGCAATGGTATTTTGATGTGGTCACGCGCATAGCAACACACATGCATTAGCAACAACAATGACAACAATCATAATGGACATTTGCCGCGTGGCGGGGTTTTTATGGTGACGCGTCCAACAGCAGCGGAAGCGCATTGTGCAATTTGACATTTTAATTAGTGGCCACAAATAAATTCAGAGACGCAGTTTCATGGCATATCGCAAGGTTGTTGTGGTTGTTGAATTTTCATGATATCAATTTGTTTTTGTACCATTTTCGTATTACAATTTTTGTTGTTGTTGCAGTTTACGCCATTACGTTGCATCGACACAAACATACACACACATAGTTGTAAAAATGTACGTCGTTGCAGTTGTTGTCAACGCCGTTGTTGTTTGTGTGGACGAAAAAAAATTGGAGGGAAATTTGTTGTTAGCTAAAGATACTTTTACCTGTTTGGAATACTTTGTTTCGTGATTGTAATGCTTTTCTTGTAAATTATATAATATTCTTTGAACAAAATCTATAAGGTTTGCTCAGTGTTTCCCTAACGCTTAAACGTAGAAGCCGTAGTTTAACCAAGTGATTGCTTTTTGTTGACTCATTTTTATATTATTTTGTTGTTATTTTAAAAATATTTTTTATTAATTTATAAATATTTATATAATTTATTTAAAATTATTATTGAAATTGCTGAAAGGAGAAACAAAACAGTTTATGTTAGTTAAAGAACTACTCGCATAGCGGCAATATTTGGCCTCGTATGGAAAATATTTTGAAAAAAATCGAGTAAAAATTTGGTTTGGATTCATCTAGATAAAATTCATATCACTAAGTCTAACGCACATTTAAGTACTAAAATGTCAATTTTTACAAAAATTTTAGTACTAAAAAATGTATAACTAAAATTTTAGAACTATTTTTTTTAAATATTTTTGAAACTAGAACTGAAATTTTAGTACAAAATATTAATTTCCACTAAATTTTGGTACTATAATTTTAGTAATACATTTTAGTACTAAAATATAACTTCTTACTAAATTTTAATACTAAAAATATATAACTTAAATTTTAGTACTAATTTCTTTTAAATGGTTTTTTTGCAAGAACTCATATCTGTATATCTGTAAATTATTTTGCATTTTAATAACTTGTATAAAAAATTGAGTAATAAAACTTTAGTACTAAAATGTTAATTTTTACTTATTTTAGTACTATAATTTTAGTAATACATTTTAATACCAAAATATCACTTTTTACCTAATTGTAGTATTTATTTTAGTTACTATATTTTTAGTTTAGTACTATATTTTTTAAAAAGATTTTTGCACTAAAACTCATATCTGTATATTTGTAAGTTTATGTATATCACTTAGTCTTACGCATTTTACCAATTTGTGCTGAAAAATTTAGATCTAAGCGTATTCTCTCATATACATATGAACTAGGATAATTTTAATATTTTAGTATCAAAACTTTATTTCTAATTTTAAATTATTAATTTAATAAATTTTAGTACTAAAACTTTAGTTTTAAATTCAATTTTTTTTTTTTTTTTTTTTTTTTTTTTTTTTTTTTTTTTTTTTTTTTTTTTTTTTTTTTTTTTTTTTTTTTTTTTTGGAAATATTGTTGTTAATCCAAACCATATAAATTTGTGCTAAAACTTTCCTTCTAAGCTCCATATACTAGAGACAATTTGAAGCAAGTAATGTAAATAATTTTAACGCTGGAAAAATTTAGTACTCAATAAGTACCAAAAAAAATTAGTCACTTTTTTTGGTTGACATGTTTTTTACTAAAATTGTAATTTTTTTAGTTAATATTTTTTGTCATACAAGTCATACAAGTCATATAAGTCATATTTGTATTCCTCCATAAAAGTTTGTATCACAAAGGTCAATCCCGTTCACGTCGCTGTACTAAAAGATTTAGGCCCAAAATTATTCTACAGTGTAACAGAGACTATTCAAATCAAATCGAATTCTTAGTACTAAAAACACAAAAACTTTTCTTAGTACTACTAAATTCAATCATATACTAAAATACTAATGATTATTTTGGCTATGATTACAGATGTTACTGGCAGTTATACCAACCTAGAAAAAAGCAAAACAAAACATTTTGATGCATGGCTTTTCGCGATTTTAAAATACAAAGATTTACTATTTTTTGTTCACTGTACTAGTTATTATGTCAAATTATTTTTTCATATTTAATTTTATATTTTCTAATATATCTCGTGTCATCAACACTTAGCAAGCGAAAAACGCAAAGTTAAGCATTCATAGACCTATACCGATATTAGTTTTCGTGCTTAATAGTTCTTACTCTCCAATCATTTACACAAACCAACTTCACGATATTTTTGCCTAACTGAAAGTATCCACAAAATTCAAAACCAACACTCTACGAGTTCATGCCCGTATCGCCCATTAAACGCTAACAACATTATCGATTCGATCAGAAATCAATTAAGTTCATATATTTACGACACGCTTGCCTAACAGCGAACGAAAAAAAGAAATGAAATGCTGTTCGAAGAAAATTCATAACGAAATACTGCCAATATTAACAGTGTAAAAGTAGTTTTAGGTGCATTGACTGCAGTGCCAAATGTCATAGTCAAGAAGCCAATGAACGCAGTAAGAAAATGTCAATTAAAACTTATTACAAACATTATATCGACTCATTACTTACAGAGGAAGCGGCTAGTACAAAACAGTGTAAGCAAAATAACAGGAACGGACATATAGGAAATGAGTTACAGCGGAAAGTAGCTCGTTCAGAGGTAACGGCATAAAGCAAAATTTAGGCGGTGTCTTGCAATCGTTACGAAATATACCTTAATTTATTATTTAATATAGTTTTTGAACGAATAAATTATTTTATATTATTTATTGAATTTGAGTTAGTAAAGCCTTAAATTTTTTAAATAAATATATTAAACGTAGATTAAAAGCACTTGAATGAAAGCTTAATTTAACAAAACTCTTAATGAAGTCAGTTATTTATTTCATCGTTTATGATGTAAGAAATTCACTAACTGATTAAAGTAAGATACCGTCTGAAACACTTGAAAGAGTCAGTAATTTATTTGGGCAATTTTAATTTAATTTATTCGCTAATTGACTAATTTAAGAGATTGTATGAAACACTTAATTAAGTCAACGAGATTTTGTTGGTTTTGTGGTCTAAGAAATTCGTTAATTGACTAAATTAAAAGACGATCTGGCACACTTAATTATATAAGTGATTTAGTCATTTTTAGTGTAAGATATGCACCAAATTGAGAGCCTGACGAAATTCAAGAGCTGCCATTTCATCCAGAAAAAAAGAAACGCTTTGGTGTGGTTTGTGGGCTGGCGGAGTCATCTGTCCATATTTCTTCAAAAATGATGCTGGTGAGAACGTAACCGTCATTGGCGACCGATATCACGTCATGATTGATGAATGATAGTAAAACTCGATAGTTGGTTTCAACAAGATGACGCCACTTCTCTCACATCGCATTAATCAATGGATTTATTGAGAGACACTTCGGTGAGCAGAAAAATTCACATTTGAGCCGTTCGATTTGTCACCAAGTTCGTATGATATCACATCATTTGACTTTTTCATTTGGGGATATGTAAAGCTTAAGATTCGTTCGGACAATCCTGTTTCGATTCAGGCCTTGGGCCATCGAAAATTGGTCTCAACGGATGGATCGTCTGGTCTGCGGCCAACATTTGAAAGATATTTTCTTAAAAAAAAATAACCGCCAAAGAATGTACTTTCGAATTATTATAAATAACTCCCCATCAAATTTGGAAATTTTTATTTTTCCTTTCAAAAGTAGAGAACCTCGAAATGGAGCATCCTTTAATATTTTCTAGATTTGTAAAACTTTTTCTTTTTCTTTACGTTCGTATTAAGTTTGATTTCTATACGAAAATTAATGTGTGTTTGGCAGCTGTTTACGTAAGAGGCGAACAGTTGATCAGTCCGGGTCAAATTTGATATGAAGTGCATTTTCGTGAATTGCATATGTGATGTTCAGAAGACTTATTTCTCGTTCATGGTTAATTAGTTATAGTATCTTCCCATTTTTTTTTTATTATTTCGGTTCAGTTTAATTTTAATTTATTTTAGTTCCTACTCATTTTATAAACAGTTATTTTAAGGTCGCAATTACACTACAATTCGG